CACACCATGCAGGGCCAGAACTTTTCTTTATTGCCAATAGTGAATGCATTATAAAATTCTAATTGTAGCATCTCTGACATTTGATCTAAAGTGATACAATCAAAAATTAACTTCCAAATAAACGAGGAAGAAGGAGCAAATCTTTTCTTTTCTTATTTGAAGTGTTTTAATCCATTGCCATCATTATTCTTTTTTTTTTAATTATGGTGAAATTTACTATCTTAACCATTTTTAAGCATCCAGTTCGGTAGTGTTAAGTATATTCACATTGTTGTGCAACCATCACCACCATCCATATCCAGAATTCTTTTAATCTTGCAAAACTGAAACTCTATACCCATTAAACAACAACTCCCCGTTCTGCCCTCCCCCCAGCCCTTGCCAATCATTATTCTACTTTCTGCTTCTGTGAATTTGACTACTCTAAGTACCTCGTATTAGTGGAAAGATACAGTATGATGGTCCTTTTGTGACTGGCTTATTTCACTTAGCATAACATTCTCAAGCTTCATCCATGTTGGAGCATGTGTCAGAAGGGGAAAGTCTTTCTTAAGAGCCTAATCATGAGAACATACCAGACAAACCCAAATGGAAGGATATTTCACAAAATACCTGACCAGTACTCTTCAAAAGTGTCAAAGTTCTGAAAAGCAAGGAAAGACTGAGAATCTGTCACAGATTGAAAGATACTAAGGAGACATGACAACTCAAGGTAAGATGGTATTTTCGATTGGATCCTGGAACAGAAAAAGGACATTAGAGGAAACTGGTGAAATCTGAATGAGTCTGTGATTGAATTAGTAGTGTTGTACCAATGTGATTACTTAGTTTTGAGAACTATACCATGGTTCTGTAAAATGGTGTCATTAGGGAAAACTGGATAAAGGATATATGGGAACTCTGTACTATCTTTTAAAAACTCCTCTAAATCTAAAATTATTTCACAGTAAAAATTTTTTAAAATTAATTTCTTCTTCTAAATAATCTTAAGGGATTGCATGGTTATTCCGTTAACACTGTCATTGCCCTAATTATTTTTGAAGCCCCTCTTTTGGAATTGTCTTCAAAAGCATGAAATGGAAGTTCATAAAACCAGATGTGTCAGAAGAGATCTGAGGAATTATCTAGTCCAGTTTCCCAACCGTTCCAGGGAGTTCTGCCATGTCCCACAATTTATTTACCTTCTTAGCTAGTGGTTGACATATAGGTCGTGCCCCAAATTGTCCCCTTTACAAAGTTTATGTGAATTCTTTTGTACATATATCTTTGGGGCACATTTAGGGATATTTCAGTACTCTAGATTTCAAGAAGTGGAATTACTGAGTCAAGAAAATGCACATTTAAAATGTTTACTAAGTCCTTCCAGTTTGCCATCCAAAATAGCTGCATGCCTCCACTAACAGTGTATGGTCATACACTAACATGAGATGCTATCCATCTTCTATGTTTTTGCTATTCTGATAGACAGGGACTTGCTGAGGTGGGGGGCAGTGGGAGCAGCAAAGAGTATTTTACCAGTGACATATTTTAGAATTGCTGGAGCAAGATGAGACATTTTATTATTATTTTTTTTAATTTTCTACAGACAATGCACCCCCTTATTTCCTGCCCTCCTTCCTGCTGACTACTCACACCACCCATCCCCCCTTGGGATACCGCTGCTGATAGGCAAAAGAAGACATCTTGCTTTAATTTGCATTTCTCTGATTAGTAGAGAGGTTGAACATATGCTTATTTGTTTACTGGCAATTTGTATTTCTTTCTCACCGAATTGCCTATTCATATCCTTGGCCTGTTTTTCTTTTTTGCTTATTTTCTTTTTCTTATTGTTTTAAAAGAACTCTTTATATATTATGAATAATAACCCTTTGTTGCCCATGTTGCAAATATTTTTTCTCTGTGTTTCATGGTCACTTTTACTATATGGAAGTTATGTTGGTGTTTGGGAGAGGGTACAAATGAGTTTTTATTTCCTTTAAATTTATTTAAAATTAGAAATACTACGAACTAGGAATGCATTTCAAAAACATATCAAACCTCCAAGTGGGAAATCCACTGTGCTTATCTGAGCAGGGAGCAATGCCCAGGATCAAAGCAAAGCATAGCACAAGACTCCCGGGTGCCCTTCCTGGACTCTCTCTACCTGCCTCCCAACTCCCATCTCCCGCCCTGTGCTATAGCTCCCCTAGGGATTCCTGGGGGAGAAAGATGAACATAAGGAAAGGCAGAGCTCTGTACAAAAGTGTTGAATCTTTATGTAATCTAATCCATCACGGCTTCCAGGTTTCGTGTCAGGCTAAGGAAGTTCTTTCCTACCCAAAGTTTGTAAAGATATTTTTCTATATATTTTTTACAAATAGTTTTATCATTTTGGTTTTTTACATTTAAATATATAAACCACTCGTAATTTATAGGTAATTAAGCCAGTTATCTTGTACCGTTTATATTGAATAGTCTTCCCCCACTGGTCTGAAACGCCACCTTGAGCATGTGTGACATCCTATAAATATGAACCTGGGTTATTTTCTGGACTCTGTTCCACTCTGTTGACCTAGCTGTCTTTTCCTTATCAGTACCACATTGCCCTATTTACTACATAGTTTTATAGCTCTTTTTAGTGTCTTGGAGGCCAAGTCTTATTTTGTTAACAGTTGTTTTTCAAAAGTTTCTTGGCTATTTTCAGACGTTTACTCTTCCAGATAAACTAGAGAATAAACTTTTAAATTTAAAAAATTCCATTGGGATTTTGATAAAAATTGCATTTAATTTACAGACTGATAGGGGGATGATTGGCTTTAAAAAAATATATTGAGACTTCTTATCCAGATATGACTCTCCATTTACGAAGATCTTTGTATGTCCTTCAGTAAAACATTATAGTTTTTTAATGGGCTCTGAACATTTCTTATTAGCTTTATTTCCAGGTATTTTATAGTTGTGGTTATTATAAATGACAAATATTTCCATTATACTTTTGAACTGGTTCTTGCTGATCTTTGTATATTCCTCTTGTATTTAATATCTTGTATTACTATACTTTGTTTACTTAACCTCTCCTCCGTTTCTGGGCATTAGATTGTTCTCCAATTTTTACAGTCACAATTAGCATTGCTATAAACATCTTTAGTGAGGTAATTTTTTTCCTTTAAATTTCTTTCCATAAATGGGAAAGACAGATTAAAAAGTATATGTAACTTTATAGCTCTTATTACATATCACTCTGAGGAATCTTACGAAGGGCTAGCCCCCTTTCCAATTCTGCTTGTGGTAACATCAGCACATCAGTAACAATGATGAAGACGAGGAGGAGGAGGAGGATGAGACCCTCTGTTGAGAGCCAGGTATTGTGCTCTGGGCTTTCCACGTCTTTTCTCATTTAATCCTCACAGTTATGAGCCTATAAGATGCTGTTACTGTCTTGTAAGTACAGATAAGAAACTGAGGCACAGAGAGGGAGGGTAACGTATCTGCATTTGCAGCTGGTAAGAGGCAAAGTCAGGTATGTTGTGTTCCATGGTCAATGCCTTCTTCCTACATCTTCACCAATACCTTCTCATTTTCTATTTACATCTGAAACTTTAAAAGGTATATGAGACCTGAAAGTTGTTTTACTTTGCATTCCTTGACTAATAAGTAGGCTGTTTGATAACATACTCGTTAAACCATTGTTTCATCTTCTTTAACCACTGATCCAATAGACTGGTGATGTTAATTATATATTTGCAACAACTCTTTATATATTGGATAGAAAGTTTTTAAAGATTATATTTTTCCCATAACTTTACAAACGTTCTTTGGTTTTCTTGCCCATTGAGACTTCCTCTCCTCTATTTATTCTAATTTATGTCTTCTGTAAATTCTTATCTGAAAATTCTATTAGCAGCAGGTAGACTAGTAGATTAAGTAATTGTGGTTACATGGAACACTGTTATCTCTTTAACATAGTCATAGTTGTACTAAATGACAGTACTGTCTGACCCTTCATTATGTATAAAGTTGATGCTCACTTTACAAAAAAAAAAAAGCTCTTCATCATTTTAAGAAAAAACCCTTCCATACCAATTTCTTTCTTTCCTTATTTTTATTTTTTAGTTACTTAGAATTAATGAGTTTTCAAAAATTGAGATATAATTAACACATAACATTATATTAGTTTCAGGTATACAACATAATGATTCAATATTTGTATATATTATGAAATGATCACCACAATAAGTCTAGTTAACATCCATCACCACACATAGTTACAAATTTTCATAACAATTTCTTAAAGGCTTTAAATCAAAGAGGTTTTTAATTTTATCAAATATTTCATTAGCATTTATAAGGAGCCTTGCCGTCCCCCTTGCCTATCCCAGGTTCTCCTGCCTCTTGGGGGCCTCTGAGCATTACCACTCTGGCCTCCAGGGGGCACTGTATCTTCTTTAATATTGTAGCTCAAGCGTTTCACTCAATTCCCCAGGGTATAGATAAGCGGAGGGGAAATATTTAAACAAAAGTTTACAAAGGAGTCCAGATGAACAGAAGGCAACTGAGTACAGGCAGTAATATACAACTAGATAATCTGGTTCACTGAACGTGGTGTAGGCATTTCAACATTTGACACCGTAAAAGGATTCCTGCCTACCTGGCTTCCTACTGCATGCACAAAGCAGAAGCCACTTTTTTCTACCCTGCATTATGTACTCAAGCAAGGAAAATTCTTGGAAAACTAGCTCCAAGATTGGTAAAGCTAGTTTCAGCTCAGGGCTTCCTTTGAAATTCTAGTCTCCTGTCTCAGTATCTGCCTCTTTCCTAGATGGTAGACATTAAGCATGTCAACCCTCTTCAAGGAAGATGGGATTGCCTACCCTGGGTTGTAGCTTTACACTGTTGTTGGGAAATGGTTATCTATGGGTCTCTCATGCCTCTGCATGTCTTGCTCAGTATGCCAAGAATTCAAGGCCTGACCACTTGTATTACTTATCTATTACTGCATAACAGATTAGTCCAAAACTGCATAGGTTTAAAACAATAAACATTTATTTTCTGACAGTTTCTGTGGATTAGGAAGCTGAGTGCAGCCTAGCCAGGTGCCCCTGACTCAGGGTCTCTGAAAAGGCTGCAATAAGGTGTAGGGCAGGGCTGCAGTCATGTCCAGCCTTGAATGGGGGAGACTCTGCTTCCAAGCTCACTTATGTGGCTGTTAGCAGGCCTCAAGTCCTTGCTGACTGTTGGCCAAAGACATCCTTTCCTTGCCATGCTGGTCTCTCCATAAGGCAACTCACAACGTGACAGCTGTCTTCCCTCAGAGTGAGTGAGTGAGAGAACATGAGAGGGTGCCCAAGACAGAAGCCACAGTCTGTTTATAACTTCACCTCAGGAGCAACATCCTGTCACTTGTGCTGTATTCAGTTAGTAAGAAGTAAGTCGGTAAGTCCAGCCCACAGTCAACTGGAGGGGATTTGCAAAAGAGTGAATACCCGGAGGCAAGAACCATTATGGGCCATCTTCCAGGCTTTCCACCACACCACTCTTTACCCAAGCCATTTTTCATGGTTTGTTTGCAGCAAGCAATCTTGAGAGATGAAGTATCATCTCCTCTGGGACAAAGAGCTGGCTTAGCTTGCTGCTTGCTAGAAAAGCAGTGGGTTCCCCAAGCTCATTGTTTCCTTGCTGCAACACAACCCACTGCATGTGTGGCATCTATCCGGGCCCCTTCGCATCACTCCTGTGGAACTTGGAGGCAAGAGGAATTGATGCAAACATTCTGATGTTCATGCTTTTTATGCTGTGCATTGAGATAAAAGCTTCTTTTTCTCTGACTCAGATGTCTGGTGTCATCTTCCAGCATCTGTGAAACAGTAACAGGCTAACTTGTTGGCTTGTAAGTAGGATAAAATCAAATCACAGACCTGACAGTTTGACTCAATGGGACAACCTCATCAGAATTGTTTATGGGCCTGTGAGACCAGCATTCACACAAGAGATCCATGTACGTGTTATTCATTTTATTTGACAAACACTTATGTGCCTGGTATTATTCTAAGAGTTTGTGGATATAAGCTCATTTAATCCATGAGGTAAGCACTATTAAAAGTCTCTATTTTACAGATGAGGAAGAAGAGGTGCAAAGATGTTGAATAACTTGCTCCAAGTCATGCAGCTCATTAGGGTCAGAGCCCAGTTATTCAAACAGAAACAAAAACAACCTGGCTACAGCATCCGTTGATCCACTATATCATGCTAACTGTGTTAAGAGTTGAGGAGGGATGGGGCAGAGAGAAGACGGAGAAATGACAAAACAGAAAGTTAATTCCTTAAAACATTCATTGAAATCATTTAGAGTTTTTATTCCTAACACCGCAATGTTATAGTTTTTGTTTTTTCATTGTGTATTCGAAGGATAAATTCTACCAGTCATATTAATAAATGCTTTGATTTATTGTGCTGTATCTGATTTGTTAGAATATGATTTAGAAAATTTGCTCTATATTCAGACTATGAAGGTAAAAATGCATTGTTCACAAAAAATTCTGCACATGGAGTTTATAGCAGCTGTATTCATAACTGCCAAAATTGGAAGCAACCAAGATGTCCTTCAGTAGGTCAATGGATAAACTGTGGTACAGCCATACAATGAAGATTATTCAATGCGAAAAAGAAATGAGCTATTAAGTCATGAAAAGATGGGAGTAGGGGCTTAAATGCATATTACAGAGTAAAAGAAGCCAATCTGGAAAGTTTATATACTATATGATTCCAACTATATGACAATATGGCAAAGGCAAAACTATGGAGACAGTAAAAAGATCGGTGGTTGCCAGGGGTTAGAGGGGAGGGAGGGATGAATAGGGAGAGCACAGAGGATTTTAGGGCAGTGAAACCACTCTGTATGATTCTATCATGGTGAATACATGTCATTATACATTTGTCCAAAACCATAGAAGATACAACACCAAGAATGAACCCTAATGTAAACTATGGACTTCGGGTGATAATGATGTATCAGTGTGGGTTCCCCGATTGTAACAAACTATGGTGGGAGATCCCAGTAGTGGGGGAAGTTGTGCACGTGTGGGGACAAGCGGATATGGGAACTATCCATACTTTCTGCTCAATTTTGCTATGAACCTGAAACCGCTCTAAAAAATAAAGTCTGTTTTCAAAAATGCTTTGAAAATTTCAGTGCACTTTAAAATGCAGAATTAATAGAATGTTTATATTAATAGAATGTGTAGTAAAATTTTGTTAACCTTACCTTATACCTGTTTCAGTCCCCCATGCCCTTGGCCTCGAGTTTCTGCCTGTCACCTCCTCCTTTCCTTCGCAAGTGTAAATGGCATGGCCCCCACTTGGGCTCTCTTCCTCCACTGTCCTTCTCAGCCCAGGTTCAGTCCAGCTGTCTGCCTCCCCCAACACTGTACCCAGGCTGCAGAGCTCTGCTGGAGAAAAGTCGCAATGGTGAAGATGATGTCTACCACACAACTCGACTCCGACATCAGCTCCTCCCTTAGAGTTTCCTGTAACTGTGTTTCTCAAATCAGAGCTTTCTACTTCAAATGTGTATCAGTACGTTTTAACTGTAGTTTTCTTTTTTTGATATTGTACTATTTAAAATAAATAAATATTTTCAAACTCATGCCATTTATTCCTGCTCTACAGATATTATATGTCAGCTTTTTTGCATATAGATAAAATGTGAATCTATTCAAATTTAATAATGTGAATAATGTGAGTTAATTACATTATTAATTAAGCTGTTTTCTATTAATTAACATAATCTGGTTACTAATTATCACATATAGAAATATGGCAGATAAGCATATCTATCAATGAAGATGCATTAGCAAAAAGGAAAGGGAAAAATAACAGGTGTTTTAATATGTTTAGAGTTGCTTTACTTATTGGTTACATAGGTTTTTTAGAGAAGATTCGGTGGAAAAGCTGAGTCATAGCCCTCCTCTGACATGCCTCAATGCCCTAGAATAAACCTCCCTGTTCTTAGATCAGGGCACCTCTTCACTCAAGGAGCTCAATCAAAATCTAGTCCAATCCTTTCCACATCTTCTCTTCTAGCAAGACTGTGGACCACTCTGTGGGTCAGTATTGATCCCTTAGGGTCTATACTAGTGGTCTCAACTTGCCAGACCATTGGGCAGATTTGGACTTATTTGGCCTTTACAGTGTTTTAAGAAAATCTGAATTCATTCCTAGCATTTTGCAATCATACCATTTCGCATTAAAATGTATATTGTTATCTTTTATTGAAAAATTAATTGATCTGGCAACATTGGGCCTATGGTCTCACACAGCAACAACCAGCTGGTAGTAGCTGTCAGCCGTTTCCTTTAGAGAGGGCGTGCACCTCTTGCTGCTCAGGAAGACTGATTGTCAGCTGTCATTTATCATCTCACTTTCACCTCTTCTGACACTCAGCATCTGTGATGCCCTGCAGGTACTTTAGGCATTTGAGTTTGTAAACTCTTCTACCCCTAGTCCTTGATATCTTTCTCCCAGCATCACCTATTGATATTGGAGGCTCTGTGATGCTCTAGAAAGATCATGGGCTTCAAATCAAATGGACTCAGCTCTGCCCCTTTCCTGCTGTGTGTCCTGGGTAAGTTTGTTTCACTTCCTTGAACTTGTGTTTCTTTATCTGTAAAGTGACAATAATGATGTCATGGATTTGAGGATTAAAGGCAACAACGTACATAATGTGCTTCTGATAGAGCTGAGAAGAGGCAAGAAGTACTCGGTGAGTGTGGCCAGCCTCCACTGCCAACCTCTGATCTCATCTCTCAGGGAGATGACAGGGCCACTCCTGTTAGTCTCAGATGTTGTCAACTCATAAATAATTTATCTGATACTCTCAGGTGTCTAGACACAAATAAGAATATCATAAGAAACTAGATAGTACTTAAGTAAAGTTTATTGCCTATAATTGTCAGCTGCCATCATCAAGGAATCATAACGGGTTAAGCTGTTGGCCAGTATCACCTCCATTGCTTGGAGGACACTCTTATGGTAAATCAAATTCTTGCAATTAGTTCTATAAAGAACACAAAAATGAAAAAGTGTGTGAATTAGCATGCTTTCCAAAACTGGAAGAAAAAAAGACAATTCTCCATATGCCCACACTTATCTGCATCTTTTGTAGGGCCCCTGATAAATATCTAAATAGCTAATTTGTTTTCTGTCTGCTGCTGTAACAAATTATCACAGATTTGGACACTTAAAACAACAGAAACGTATTGTTTTACAGTTCTGTAAGTTAGAAGTCAGACTTGAGTGCTACTGGGCTAAAATCCATGTGTCAGAGGGCTGCCTTCTTTTTTGGAGGCTCTAGGAGTGAATCCATTTCCTTGCCCTTTCCAGATTCTAGAGGCCACCCACATTCCTTGGCTCATGGCCCCGTTCTCCACCTTCAAAGCTAGCAGTGTTGCATGTCTCTGACCATTCTTCCATAGTCACATCTCTTTCTCTGACTCTCTTCTATTGCCTCCCTCTTCCAATTTTAGGGACCCATGTGATTACATTGGACCTACCCAGAAAATCCAGGATATTCTTCCTATCTTAAGGTCATCTGATTAGTACCTTAATTCTATCTGCAACCTTAATTCTTTGCCATGAAATGTAACATATTCACGTGTTCCAGGGACTAGGATGTGGGTGTTTTTGGGGGGGCCATCATTCTGCTTATCATACTGGGTATGCATTTTATACATGTAATATATATGTAATTTATGTACCTTATATATAGATATATAATTTTAAATTTTATCATGAATTGTGTTCTTACTCTGTGATTACCTCACTTAATCCTCACAAGACCCTACAAAGTAGGGACTACTTTTACAAACGAGAAAGCTGAGGCTAGGGCGTTAGGAAATGTGCCTGGGTCCAGAGCTGGTAAGCAGCAGAGTGAGATTCAAACCCAGGGCTGTTTTCCTCTAAAGCCATGTCCTTAATCACTACAGTGTACTGAAATTTGTTCAAATTGTATTTTTCTTTCTATTTTCTAAGAAAATGATTATCATAGTGAAAGTCAGATTCTTCTGTGGGAGGGATAGCCCAAGGAGTATGTATCAGTTAAAATTCAAATAAAGATATTGTCTCTTTATTGCCTTGATATGCTACTTACATTTTTTCGAAATTGAATTTTATATTACCACAGACTTTTATAACTAATTTTGACTTTTCATACCATGGCCCAAGTTTCTGAACTATCAGTACTGCTTGCTTTTAAAAAGTCACACAGGTATAAGTTCCTTCGAAGGCTGTGAGCTTTGACTTTGCTTATTTACAGAGTTTAAAAGTAAAGGAGGGGCTGGCCTGGTGGTGTAGTGGTCGGGTTAGCATTTTCCACTTCAGTGGCCCAGGGTTCACGGTTTGGATCTTGGATGCGTACCTTCATACCGCTCATCAAGCCATGCTATGGTGGTATCCCACATACAAAGTAAAGGAAGCCTGGCACAAATGTTAGCTCAGGAACCACCTTCCTCCAGCAAAAAGAGGAAGATTGGCAACACACGTTAGTTCAGGGCCAACCTTTCTCACCAAAAAAAAAAAAAAAAAAAAGTAAAGGAGAACCTGGGAAGTCATACAATCCAGTTTCTTACCTTGAATACCTCAAATCATCATATTTTCTTGCTATTTAGGGAAATGGTATAGGATTCCATTTTAGACATGTAGGGAATTTTAATTTCTATGATCACAGTTTCCAGAAATATTTTCCTCTACCCATTTTTCATATGATTCTTCTCCAATGCAAATAAGTAGCAATTAAAAAAATTTATCCCAGTCATGGGTTGAAATTACAAGGAACAAGATGAAATTTGAAAGAACTAGTTCAAGCCAAATAACATGCCTGCAATACTTTCAAACAGTATGGTACAGGGCTTGAAGAAATACAACACAAGGCAAAAGTGGTAAGATAGTTAAAAATGCAGTGTATTGAGGGATACATTTAATAGGAATTTAACGGGCGTAAGAAAAAAATTACGGTGTTTTTCTCATTTTCTCATGTGATATCAAGGATATAAAATTCCCTTGAAAGCACAGTATATCTTTGTACCTCGAACCTTCCATCTGTCTTAACACAGTGCTTTGCAGAGGAAATGTCTGTTGAACCAGCAATATTTCTATTCACATATGATTACATTAAAAGCAAATTGCAGATCTCTGGAAGAGAAAAGTCATAAATGGTTTATTTAAACCACATAAAAATGAAGTGAGTGTTCAAATGACCAGTTTCAAATTCAAATCTCAACCAACAGCGGATGACTATCTATGTAAAGGCCTGGGAGTGGAGGCAGGGGAAGGAGCTGAGAAGCTGGGGAGACTGTGGAGTTCAGGCTCCACAGGGAATAGTTCCTTACTATATGTTTCATAAATGATTTAAACTACTGAGGGTGGGTGGGGATCATATTTTTAACTTCTACCTCCCTGAGCCTAGCATAGTACCTGACACACACTAGGTACTCAACAAATAGTTACTGAATGAAGAAGAAAGAGAACAAAAGGCATTAAATTCTTAGATGACACCAAACCAAAGAAGAGAGGGAGTGGATGATAACTGACATCTTGCTTTTGAATATGCACCCCATTCTTAAAAATGTTTCACCATGCACAACCACCTGTAAATTACATATTTGTGACCTCCTGTATACCCAAAACATATACCCATAAATAATGTATTTGTGACCTCCTATACTAATATATTGTACACCTTGTAAAATATAAACCCCAAATTTAAAAAGATGAAGTAATCAATATATTTAAAATAATTTAATGGTATTTTATTAATAGTGTCAGAACCTTTTTGCTGTCATTTGATTCTTTATTACTTTGTACTTTTTTAAATTCTTAGTTTAACACTTTGTGATATCATGATTTGAAGATCTGGTTCTAAGTTTAGTTTATTTTAATAGCTATCATAGCTGAAAAAGATATTTCAAAAAGACATTTAGATTTAAATGGAAGAAATGCATTTTTGTTGGCCATACCTATTAAAAAGTACCCATTTTCTCAGCAACCATTCTGCAAAGGTTTTTGTTGAAGTTCAACTAGTAAATTTCCATTTTCTCTGCTATCAATCAGCAATTCTTGCAAACTAATTTAAAGGCATTGCATTTTACCTTTTCAATAGATAAATTTAAGACCCACTGAAATTCATTATTTAGAAAATATTTAAACAAATAGAAAATTATGTTTGCAAAATTTTTAGGTGTGCATATATTAGGGTTTTAATAGGACACATACACACTGGTTTTTGCAACAAAATTACATACTAATGGAAATATTTCCAAGCATCATTTTCAAAACATTCTCTCCAAAGTACTTCTTTCAAAACACATGTACACTTTTTAAGGGGGGCGGGGTGGTGGATGGAATTATTCTCTCACTCGTTGCCAAAACTTTACTTTTTTTTTTTTTTTAAAGTTTTTTTTATTTTTTCCTTTTTCTCCCCATAGCCCCCCGGTACATAGTTGTATATTCTTCGTTGAGGGTCCTTCTAGTTGTGGCATGTGGGATGCTGCCTCAGCGTGGTTTGATGAGCAGTGTCATGTCCACGCCCAGGATTCGAACCAACAAAACACTGGGCCGCCTGCAGCGGAGCGGGCGAACTTAACCACTCGGCCACAGGGCCAGCCCCCCAAAACTTTACTTTTAAAGGAAAGTACTAACAGATGAGATAGGGAAATTTGGATCCCTTGTATTTTTGTCAGAGGAAAATGCATCATTCATCTCCATATTTAACTATTCTTTTAAGTTATAGTAACAATTAGTGCTTATGTAGAGCTTATTTTGGTGGTAGATTTATATGTATTAATTCTCTTCACCCTCAGTACAACCCAGTGCAGTAGACACTATTATGATCTCCATTTTACAGATGAAGAAATTGAACCCCAGAGATGTTAAGTAACTTGCCCAAGGTTACATGGGTGGTGATGGCAGAACTATGGTCAGAACCAGGCAATGCGTTATCCAGGAGCTGTGTTTTTAACCCCAAGTATCTTGAATACTTTGATGGAAGATAAAGAGTTTCCACAACTACTTCCCATCTCAGTACAAAGTATTATATAGATTCTATTGAAAGGATTTGTTTTACAAATTTAACCTCGATGATCTCCTATACCACACAAAAGTGCAATACACTGAATGTGCATGAAGGAGAGTTTCCCTTCAAGTGGAAGCCCACCCTTCTCAGGACACCTCACAGAGCATACGTGTGGCTGACTGACAAAGGACTGTGTGAGCGCGCCAGTGTCAACATGTGCATGTTAAATAATTAAGCTTAATTTCTTCCTTTTTAGATAAAACAAAATAAATAGCCATTGGGATATTTTCTTTCTGGACTATAGTAGATTGTCTTGTGCACCCCTAGGATGTGCACCCTCCACTTTGGATGTCTTTTGTCTTAACAGATATTATGACACTCAAAATTACCCAGGAAAAGTACAGTTTCAGTAAAATAGGTGCAGAGGAGTTCAATAGGATAATCAAAACAACCTATTAAATATAATGTGAAAAATATAAGTAAGCTAAACAAGCATATAGAGTTCAGATTTTAAAATCTGATAATGATGAAATGTAATTTTAAATGTACAAATAATTCTAGGTTGCATCACAGGAATGTGAATTGAAGACCTGAGAGAGAATACTCTCACCATGCTAAGGACTTACCCAATCCTTTATAGAGGTCCATGTCTCCTACTGGGCATTTCATCTAAAGAAGAATGCGGGGAATTTGGAAAGCATTCGCATGAGAGTCATAAAACATAAAAAAAAAAGTGTGAGAAAATATTAAAAGAACTGGGATTGTTTATTCTAGAAAATCTAGGGAATTTAAGCGTCTTCCGGTATATGAAGAATTATAATCCCTTAAAGTCTATTTAAGTCTTTGACACATCTGGTTGAGCCAGACACAGATTCCTTAGAGAATTAGTTAAGGAAATCACAGCAACGCACCTCTTTAAGCCAGAGGCTATTAAGCCTTTGCTTTTGAAATGGGTTCAATCATTAATTGCACATAATTGACAGTAAACAACTGAGTCACCAAATGAACAGTATTTAAGAAAAGCTATTATTTCCTACTGATAAGCAACTAAAATATTTATTATCTTCAAAGTCTGCCTAGTAGGTTTGAGCTCAAAGGCCTAATAAGGTTCTCTGAGGAACATAGTAACTGCTGACACAATTTATGTAAATAAGTTATTGTCAACTATTAACAGACATAGTTTACGTACACAATAGATTATCCAAACAAGAGACAGAAAAAAGAAAGAGGAAATGAGAGAGAAAAAAAGGAGCGATTTATATTTTGTTCTTGATACCCATAATAACTAGATTAGAAGACAATGAGATTTACCTAATAGGGAAGGATAATAGTTTTACTTTACATAATTAATGGTCTTAGCAAGATTTAAAGTAATTTCTAGCTACTTTTTATCAAAAAGCTGATGCTAGCAGTTTAAGGGTTCTGATCTCCTAACACTTGCCTTTGGTTTTTCTCACGACTCTAATATAGAAAGTGAGAAAGTCCTGTGATCTGAAAAGCCTTGCATTTGACCCTAATGTAGTCTTGCTTTAAAATAGAACTTTTCTCTTTATTACAAAACGCACTGAACTTCAGGCGTTTCAGTTTGAGTTTGAACATGGCTAATCTGGAGCAAGAAAGATGTTGAGCCTGGGCCACTCCCATCCCCGACACACAACATGAGCGCTCTCTGAACCATTTTCCAGATCAAAGAAACAGGTTCATTCGGTTTCATGTCAAGGCGGTATAAACTCGTCTCTATTTCAGTTCCTGTGAGTCTCGGAGTTTTTCTAACTATATCTTGGGTTGCTTTGGGTTGTATTAAATTATTTTCCTCAGAAAATTCAATAAATTGGTCACTTTAATGCCCATATTCCTACCTATTTTTTACAGCAGGCTTTTCCTGCTGATTATTTTCTGAGCCAACTCATGACTAGGAACATGTCTTAAACTACTTCCCTCATAAAAATGGTTTTCTTTTTTGCGAAGTTGTGGGCTGCTGCCGTTGGTGTTATCAACATAGCTGGAAACTATAGCAACAACTCATGATGTCTGAGCCACTTAAATAGATGAGTCTGTAGTAAAATGAACGAAAATGTGCCATAAAAGCAATGCAAGTAATATGAATCAAAAACATCTTTGCTTTTGTAATCATGTAGTTGGTAGCATTATTCTTACTTCTCTAGTAGTGGCGATTTATCTGCTATAAAACAAATATTCTAACAAATATTTGCCCTCACTTCCATTACCAGCTGGCTTATCAATAGAAGTTATTCAGGTCCTGTGGCTGCCATTTGTCAATTTTTCTCCCTAAGAGAAGTTATATTTCTTGTATTGTTATGCTCCTTAACTCCTCGAAAGTTACAATAAAAGAACTACAAATAACAGAGGATCCTATCATTATATGACAAGTCATATGGTTCCATATCAGGCACTATTTTAGAGAAAAGGTTTTCCGTTTTGAAAAATGGAGGATGACAACCAAGCACTTATCTCATTGGAATATATTGTCTAGAAGAAAACATTTATTACCTGGTTAGGTAGTTTTTTTGTTTTAATATTGGGATCAACAATTTATAGTACGGCCAGGCCAATTTTCTAAAATTCTGAACATAACGATATCTTAGTATTTCTTTTATGATTTTTTTCCTGTTAACTTTTAGGACTTCTACAAAAAAAACCAAAACTCTAAAATTTGATCATTCCTTATACTAGTACAAATGAAATATAAAATATTGGCATTTTTCTACCTGTTATAGGTAATAATAATGATGATGACAATAGCAGTCAATTGATACTATGTTCCAGTATTCTATAAGTTAATTTAATCCTCAATTTCATGAGATAAGCACTATTATTATCTCTGTTTTACTGAGGAGGGAAAAGTACTATTATCATCCTCTTGTTATTGATGAATCCAGTACTCGAGAGGTGAAATAATTTGCAGAAAGTAGAAAGTGACAGAGCCAGAATTTAAACCTGGGTCTGACCTCTTCCAAAGCTTGTGTTCATATCTGTGGGAAGTGGCGTGTGTGTGTGTGTATATGCGTGTTCTTCACAGCTGGAGGACAAATTTATCTTGGAAATGTAATGGTTCCCAGACGTTAGTTTAAAAAAAAAAAAAGAAACAAAGGTTGAAATGTGCTGATAGCCAGGTATTTGTCTCTAAAACGAGAATGATGTCATTCCACTTGGAGTTCATTGACACAAAACTTCCTTTTGTCTGAGGAATTTTTCAGCACTGTGAATATGGCTTTAATTAAGAGAGACACTGACCACTTGTTGATTTTGTTACAAGGAAGGAAATTCTCTGTGCCTTATTGTGTGTATTGCTTTGTGTGTGGATCACAGTGAAAATGTATAAAGGACCATTGGCAATGTGTTGATTTGTGTCTACTGCATTTTATATCTACTTCCATATGCCACAGAGAACCATTGTTTAGAAAGATCTGTAGGATTATTATGTTTTGAAGTATAAAAATATGGGATTCACAAACCATTTTCTTTCAGAAGGAGAAGGCCATACTGTGGTAATTGACATTAAACATGAATATTCTTACCTTTACCTGTGAGCTAAATTTTTGACTATCATTTTAAAATATAAGGAAATGTTCCCTGAATTTAGGGAAGCCACATATAAATCCCAGTTCCTCTACTTACCTCTGGAAGTTTACTTGTTCATAGATTTGTAGCAAATTCTCTGGAATCAGATGGTGTACAGCAGACAATTGCCTCAAAATCTGAAGCACGTTACGCATATAGGAATCTTTAAATAGTTGTTTGAGTCTATCTTCAAGTGATATCTGATAAAATTTAAATTACAGTAGTGTTGTGCGGCAAAAAACAAACAAAACAAAACACTGCTTCAAAATCTTGACCACTTTACTCCACACCCATTGAATCATACAATTCTTAGTTCTCCATTCACCTTCTGTGCCTCTCTTTATCCTATCTGGAAAAAAATAGAGAAACGGGAGTCAAAAACGCAACTTCTATATTTAAAGAATAAGAAAGAGTAATAGGAAGCTGTAAAGTGTGCTGACTTGGAGATTAATGGGAATGCAATAAATAAATAAAGTTAGTAAACCTAAAAAGATGCGTGGAAAGGAAATTTCTCTGTACACAGATCTGCCAATTTGTGAAAGCTCTCTCCTATCTATAAACCCAAAGGCCAAAACTCTGCTGATGAAAAAAGTAGAAAGCTGTTCAAACAATGCTAAATGAAGCATAGCTGTTCCCCTGAATTATCTGGATACTTATTTCACTTCTCTTGAGTTTCCAGGTGACCCCCAGCCACATGTCCGCCAGGCCATTCCTCGGGCGACGCGGATCCCTCCGGCGGTCCAGCGCTCCTGCTCCTTGCCCACACCAGGGTCGTCTTCACTGGCCGGCCCCGGGCGCCTTGGCCCAAGCGGCTCTCGGGCCCCGGGCAGAGGTCGCTATCACTGAGCAGCGCGAAACGCCGAGGAGTCTGAGCCTCCAGACAGGACCCCCGGCGTCCCTGAACTTCGCGCACACGGAGAGGCGGGCCGGCCCTCGCGCTGCGGCCCGGGCTCGGCGGGGTCCCCCGGGAAGAGGCCGGACAGCCGGCTTCCGCGGCGGGCGCCTTCCCCGCGCGCTGCCCGCCGCCGGTCTCCGGGCCGCCCGCGCCCTCCGCGGGAGGAGCCGCCTGCCGCCGTGACGCGTCAGGGAGGAAACGCCGGCGCCCGGCGGCCCTGCCGGGAAGGAGGAAGCGCGGGTGCGCTCGGCTCCGCGCCCGCCGCGCCGGGAGGAGCCCCGCGGAGCCGGGTAGGTGTGGGGCCGCGGCGACCCACGGCGGGGGCGGGCGGCAGGGGCCGCGCGCGTCCGGACCTCAGCCCGAGGTCCCCGGGCGGGTGAGATGGGGCGCGGCGGGGGGTGCACGGGCCTCGACTGCCGCCGCTCCACGGAGCAAACGTGACTTTCCCGGGTCCCCTGGCAGCTCTCCGCACCTCCGCCCGGAAACCTCCGAGTTGGTCGGAAGGGGAAAAGCAATACCCTCGCCTCAGCACCCGACTCAGAGTTTGTGGTCTTTGTCTCCCCGTGGTGGATTCAGATTCTGCTTTTTGATTCCTAAACGCCCGAGTGGTGTCGGTGGACCGACAGTGTTAACCCGTGCGCACCTTCAGAGCGAAGAGGAGCTGGGAACGGGGAGGGAGGGAGACCCCAACCTGAGGTCGAAAGTGGCTGCGGGTCACCTGCGAGGATCAGGGATGGAGGAGGCCTCGGGAGTGGAGGGCACGGGAATCAACCTGTTGTCAGCGGACCTGGTGTCTTGAGACTTTAATGCCATTGTTATCCCTTAAGTTCTCTTGTGATTTGAACCCTTTCCGTCTCTTTTAAGTGAATTTGTCTCTGTTTATTCCCACACTTTTAGCATTGGGCTGTACATCTAGGAGTGCTTTGAGATTTTTAGAGTTTGTCATTTTTAGTGGTGGTTACTTGGAGAGAGAGGAAAGAGAATTCATCTCTTGAAACTTGAACTCTTTCATTATTTAATTGTGCACATTGATTTCTGAACCATGAGTAGAATTTTAGACCTGCACAAGAGACTATATAGGGTACACTTGAAATGTGGGAATAAATACAGAGCACTACAGTTCCTAAATCTTTATCAAGGTAAAAAAAATTTAGATTGCTGTGTATTTTGATTCTGTACTTTGTCACTAGGTTAAGAATTCACCCAACCAATCTGGAAAGTGCCTTATTTATTCAATGAACACTTAGATAGCTCTTACTATGTGCTGGGCTCTTTCTAAGTGCTTTATAAATATTAACTCAAATTATTAGCTCAATATTAAATTATAGCGGTTCTAGCAATAAAGAGGCTGTGCATACTTCAGTTCCCTGACTGTCACTGCAAGAGCTGGAAACATTAGAGGAAGTTTCAGGCATATTTTAGGACTGGGTGTGCCTGCTGGCCCGCTTGGCTACCACTGCTGTGAGAGAAGCCACCAGCCCTCCACTCCCTGGGGGAAAGGAGTCTGGAGCTGGGGAATGAGACTTCCTTGCAGATCTTTGGCCAGATCCCCAGCATCTTCCGTAAGATTGTTTTTCTCATCGGGTGGTAGTTTGCTAACTCTGGAGAGACCAGAACTTCCCCATTTCTTCAACTGCCACTTCATTGAGCCTAATTTTGTTTTTAAAATGAGCTTTGTTCCTAATCTGTTTGACAATTGATATGACTGTAGGTTAGATTTGAGGGTCCGATTGAACTTGAAATGTACTATAAAATAGAAGGTTATTATTTGTACACATTCATATAACATATGCTTTGCAATCTTACTGCCATTTTCTGTTAGTAACATTGAGTTGATGGGTCAACTTTGCAGGTGTCCATTTTGTGATTTGCAGATATATAGAGAGGATATTTTTCCAGAATAAAATGCCCTTTTCAAATGAATGCCTTGGCCTAATGGCCAGATTGATAAAGACCCAAAACGGTGAATAAAATAGACTTGGTTCTTGTCATTGTAGCTATTATGAATCTAATGTCAAAATCTGCATGTCGTACTAGCTTTCTTTCTCTTTCTAGCTTTCTCTTTCTCTGTCTTTCATATATTTAAATTTCCAGGGAGATGATTAAATGAGACTCTAGGCTTTATTTAATAGGATTATGGAGTGTCTCCTGGAAGCAAGAAGGCTCACTTTCCTCTCATGTAATTGATGGTGCAACAGACATTAGTGGCATTCACGAATTCAATTCAGCCAAACTAACACTTTCATGGTTTACAGAGTGCTTCCAGACACACTCGTGTGCTCTTCAGAAAGACTTTGTAAGGTTGGTGGCCATTTTTCAGTACTGTTTTTACAGATGAGGAAACTGAGGCATGGAAATGTTATAGTGCTTTAGCCAGGATTGCTGGGCATGGCTTGAATAGAGAGCAGGTGTGTGCACAGTGCCTGGCATGTACCAGCCTGTAATAAACATTTGTGAAATGAATGACTCCAAATGCCTTCAGATTTCTTGCTGTTTTAAAACATTATGCCTCTCAAGTACCATAATTGATTTGTACCTGAGATTTCCAGGCCGAAACCAGTGTCTCTCTCTTATTTCAAACAGTATCTGATACAACATATTTTCTACAAAAGAGATGAGAATGCCTTTTAGCCTAATTTCTTAGGATTTAGCATCTCTGGTTTTTTGAAAAAGCAAATAGGTTGCTTATTTTTTTTCTCTTTCAAACATCCTGCTTTTTTTCTCTGATTTTGAGAATGCTTGGATTGCACACATGGTCTTAATATTTGTGTTGACAGCTTTCTTGTCTCTCCCTACTCATTAAGGTGTATGTTAAGGACGACAAATCACTACAGGTTTTCAATGTGAATGAACTCAGTTAAGCAACTTAGATTTATGATCAAACTCAAACACAATGAACATAGGGGTGTTTTTTTTAAGTGTCTGACATCACTACTGTGTTTTTTGAAATGTTGCAATTACTGTAGTATAAAGGGTCTTTTTTTTGAAAAACAAAAACCCCTCAACTATTTATATCCTTCAAGCATAACCCTCTGTATCCTAAAGTATGTGACCTCCAGACGGATAACCTTCAATTAGAGAGGAAAATATGGCCACTACCTAGTGGGAGGTATTGAGAAGGGCTTTCAGGGAGAAATGAGAGATGGGGTGGCCTTTCCCGTGAGGGATATTAAGTGGTAAGAAACCCTTAATGAAGCCAGACTGAGTCATCTGCCTGTCAACGTTCTTCTGTGTGTGGGTGGAATAAAATACTCTTGAAACCTGCCTTGTTTCGGAAACCACTTTACCTTTTCCAATCCTCATGTTTTTTCTCTCCTTTTTTTTAATTCATGTAAATTACTGACTAAACTGCTGATTCATGAAACTCAAATTATGTAACATGTTATTCCTGACAGAAACAGCTCCCACATTATTTTAAGGGACTCCGCTGTCTGTTTTCCTTTACCTATTCTATTCCTTATGGTGAAGTCTTTGTTCTCATTTCACTTTTTTTTTTCTATTTCATGGAGGAAAAAGGAAAACCTAAGAGGTGCTAATTCCACATCTTGTAATTCATGTCAAAGTAATTTTAACTCAATACTGACTTTGAGTTCATTGTCATTGCCGAGGAAGACAATATGGAAATCAGATGTTGAGGGCCAATTCAGAGCATCAACCAGTAAAATTTTATGGTTTGAACCCTGTCTGCAGCCGAGCCAGGGAGTTTTCAAAGGGAATTAGGGCAGTGTACCATATCCTTGCCCTTGTCCAATTTCTCAGGGCCTTTCCTATTTCCCGCAGGTCTGGGAAACCTGCCTTAGTTTGTCTCCTTGCAGTCACTATTTCTTCTATTTTTCAAAACCAAAATCTGTTTTTCTTTGGTGGAGGTGGGGGATGAGTGAGAGAAGGGTGATTTTATAAGGGGAATTGTTGTAGGGTAAGAGATTGATAATACATGCGTAAAATGGAACATAGGAGGTGTGTGGGTGAAAGAAAAGATGTTAGTGAGATCTCATGACGGAGAATTCATGCAGAGAGCTGCTGTGCCTCCCCCAACCGGCGCATAAATGTGGGGAAGACCTATATGGGATCAAAGAAAGTCCGGGAAGGATTAGAAACATCTATTGACATATGATATTGGCGGGCAGAGTTCCTTTGTGCTACCAAGTGCAGAAGTGTCATTATAGGTAGCTGTTTCTTCAGGCCACGAAATGAGTTTGCTTGGAGATAATTAAAATGTAGAGAGCTGGTTTGGTGGCTTTTAACTTCACAGTAGGGATGATTTGACAGGCTTTTGGCTGAGTAAAGGTCTGGATTTGGTATCTTTTTTTTTTTTTTAATTTTATTTTTTCCTTTTTCTCCCCAAAGCCCCCCGGTACATAGTTGTGTATTCTTCGTTGTGGGTTCTTCTAGTTGTGGCATGTGGGACGCCGCCTCAGCGTGGTCGGATGAGCAGTGCCATGTCCGCGCCCAGGATTCGCCCAGGATTCGAACCAACGAAACACTGGGCCGCCTGCAGCGGAGCGCGCGAACGTAACCGCTCGGCCACGGGGCCAGCCCCTGGATTTGGTATCTTTTTAAAGGCTTACTCTTTTTGGAGAATGCCTATAATGTTGAAATAATAATGTCATTCTTTTCACTGTTTTGTTTTTTTGGTGAAGAAGATTGGCTCTGAGCTAACAACTGTTGCCAATCTTCCTCTTTTTATTTATTTTTTCTCCCCAAAGCCCCAGTACATAGTTGTATATCCTAGTTGTAGGTCATTCTAGTTCTTCTGTGTGGGATGCTGCCATAGCACGACTTGAGGAGTGGTGTGCAGGTCTGCGCCCAGGATCCGAACCAGGGAACCCAGGGCCACCAACGGAGAGCATGAGAACTTAGCCACTCGGCCTTGGGCTGGCCCCTGTTTTGTGATTTTAA